GGAAGGGAAGGGAAGGGAAGGGAAGGGAAGGGAAGGGAAGGGCGGAACAGGCGGGCTGGCTGACGCAAGGCAGCGGCGGGTTGGCTCAGCCCGCCCGTGATGCACTTCCTGCGCCGCGGCCATGGCGGGGGACGTGCTGGGCAGGACGGCGGCGCTGGCCCTCGGTGAGAGCCCGGGGCCTGACCCCCGCACCCCGGCCCCCCCCCCGTGTCCCCCTCATCCCCGCACTCCCCCGGTGATGCCGGTACCCCGGGGGGCCGTGCGGGGCCGGGCCCGGCAGCGCTGCGGCGGCGGGGTGCACCGGGAGCGGCCACAGCGCTGGGCCGGGCCGGGCCCTCCCCAGGCACGGGAGGACCCATCGCTTGTCATTTCGGTTCCGGCGTTGGCTGGTCCCAGGCCCCATCTCCCTGCTCACCTGCACAAAGCTGTTCCCGTGAGGGGCTGCTCCTTCTGGTTCCCGGTGTGCAGCCAGTATGGCTTCCCAGGGTTCGGTACCTCGGGAGCCCTTGAGATTTTAGCGAACGCATTGCATGGATTGATTTTTAAAGTGAAATGTATGAAATAATTCTTTCCCCGGCTGAGCAGCCGGTGCCTTCGAAGGTTTATCACTGCTGATAACCATCAAGATTTGGTATAATAGAAAGGGTTGGGTTGGAACAGGCCTTTAAAGGTTACCTCATCCAGCCCTCTGCAGTGAGCAGGGACACATCCATGTGTCTCCATTTTCTTCCTCATAATGTTTTTTGAGTAATTGTCCCTATTTATCATATATCCCAGAAGAGCTGTATGTGTCTGAACGAGAGGGCAATGACTCCACTGGTGATGGGACGCAAAAGAAACCATTCAAGACCGTGTTGAAGGTGAGTGTGGAAAACACCTGCTTTGGTTGGCAGTGTGGAATGTGTTCTGGGGCAAGTGATGGCCCTTGTATTTTAAAATGTGAGTTTCATACCTGTTTTTGCAACCTGAGCAGGAGCAAGGTGCCTGCTCAGGCTCTGTAAGGATCATTTTGGTTAATTTCATTTATTTTCTCCCCCTTTTCAGGCATTGATGACAGCAGGAAAAGAGCCATTTCCTACAATTTATGTGGATTCCCAAAAAGAAAACGAGGTGCTGTGGCATTGAAGGGTTTCCTAGTGTGAATTATTTTACTGCTCCTTGGTGTGAAGGGACACAATGTAATCTGCTGTCTTTTGCTCTGTCTTGAATTCTCTAGAGATGGGCCATCATTTCCAAATCACAGATGAAGAATGTCAAAAAGCTATGGCACAGGGAGCAGATGAAAAATGAAGCTAAGGAGAAGAAGGAGGTAGGCTGCAGAAGGAGCAGAACACCATTGCTTTCCAAAAACATTACAGTGTCATCATCATTCCTGCCCCTCCAAAAAAGCTGCAGGTTTTCCTCACTGGTGCTGTTGTTTCATGTGTTATTTACAACTGGACTGGTTACAGCTATTTAATAAGTAATTTATTTCAAACCAGGCAGAAGATCTCTTGAGAAGAGAGAAGAACTTGGAGGAAGCCAAGAAGGTTGTTATCAAGAATGATCCCAGCCTTCCAGAGCCCAAGTGTGTGAGTAGGATCCCGTGCCTTGGCAGATGGTCTGTGCTAGGGCATCTGGTCAGCACAGACATTGTGCTGCTCTAGGGTGGGGTCTGCATGAGCTCTAGGAGGTGGTGAACCATTCCCCTATTGAATGCCTTTTATTCCCTGCCTCACAGGTGAAGATCGATGCTCTGGAGGCTTACAGAGGGCAGAGGGTGAAGATTTTTGGCTGGATCCACAGGTTACGGAGGCAAGGTAAAGCACGAGCATTGCTGAGCCCATGCAGGGAGATAGAACAAGTGCAGTGGCCTTCAGAATGTAGACACAGAATGAGCCTGACAGCACCTGGTCTCACCTTTTTAAACCAGTTAGGTGCCCTCTTTGGTTGATCTCAATGGTCACTGCAACACTGGCAGTTCCCCCTTATGTGGTCACCTACAGATATTTTTAGTTATTATTATTATATATATCTATATAATAGATATATCATATATTAGTGTATATTATTATTTATTATTATTATTATTAGTTCAAATCCTACAGGATTTTCAGTTTGGAGGCTAGTCCTTCGGAATTTCCTCAACTTGTTCTGTTGTAAGCTAACCCTGCCAAATGAGGAGATAACCAGCACCTGCTCACAGTGAAACCAAATTCATTTTCTTTTGAACTAGGGAAAAATCTGATGTTTATTGTCTTGAGAGATGGCACAGGGTTTCTTCAGTGTGTCCTTTCTGATGAGCTGGTAAGTTGTGATGATTCAGTTCTGTCATTAATATAAGAGTTCATACCTCATCTGGTGTTCTCTTATGTAGTAGATGTTGTTTAGTTCTCAACCTACTGACTCAGTTGTGCTACTGTTAAATTGTATGTCCTCCCATGCAGTTTGTCAGTGTGAGAGCTGTTCAGAAGTGACTGTGTGCTAATCTGTGATGCCATAGGAAAGGTAGCAATAAAACTTTGCTCACCTGTGCCTTTGTGTCTCGCTGCAGTGCCAGTGCTACAATGGGCTGGTGCTGTCCACAGAGAGCAGCGTGGTGGTGTACGGCACACTGAACCTCCTGCCCCAGGGCAAGCAGGTACAGGAGCTCCTCAGGCTTCTCCTCCTCCCTCACGGGTCTTTGGTATGCTGAGGGGGGCACAAGCAGAGGTGCAAGGAATTAGGACTAGGGAAAGAACAAAGCTCCCAAAGCTGTGCTGTCACCCAGTGTTCAGTGTGAGACAGGTGAACTGTGTGACTGTTCCATTTCTGCCTGAAACTATTTTCCACCCATAGACAATTCCTAGAGTATAACGTGGAGAGCATGTTAACTAAATGACATGGCTTCATTTTGCTTAACAGGTTTATTCAGTTTTTATTTTGTGAGGCTAAGAATTTTTTCACATCTCTTTTACTGAGATATGTTTGTAGGATCGACCCAAGGTGAGGCTAATGTGAACCCCCACTATTACATTTTGGTAAAAATCTGTGTGTTAGCCTTTGAAAATTTGCATTTCTACCCTGAAAACGCTGTGATTGAATTAAAAATGCCATTTGTCAGGGGTGGAAGGCAGCTGTGACCCACACGGGGGAGCTGATGAGAGCAGAACTCAGACTATTTGGGGTGGGAGACCATATAGCTCATCCATATAGTGCCACCCCCTGCCATGGGCAGGGACATCTCCCACTATCCCACGTTGCTCCAAGCCCTGTCCAACCCAGCCTTGGACACTTCCAGGGGTGAGGCAGCCACAGCTTCTTGGAGCAGCCTGTACCAGGGCCTCACCACATTCTCAGGGAAGGATTTAATCCTCATATCCCATCTACCCTGCCCTCTGTCCATGACAAGTCATTCCCCTTTTCCCATCATTCCAAGCCCTTGTGAAAAGACATCCAAGGGGCATCGAGTGGACTTTCCCCCAGTGTTTGTTTCTCTCCCACTGCAGGCTCCGGGAGGCCACGAGCTGAGCTGCGATTACTGGGAGCTCATTGGCCTGGCCCCTGCAGGAGGGGCTGACAATTTGCTCAACGAGGACTCGGAGGTGGATGTGCAGCTCAACAACAGGCACATGATGATTCGAGGCGAGAACATGTCCAAAATCTTCAAGGTGCGCTCCATGGCTGTGCAGGCCTTCAGGGATCACTTCTTTGCCAACGGATACTATGAAGTAAGTGTGTGTTCCCTGGTCAGCAGGTGACTGCTCTAGTGCCCTGACTTGTCCAAGTCCTCAGTTCTTCACTCAGGCAGTGACAGCCCTGTTCTCCTACAGGTCACACCACCAACCTTAGTGCAGACACAGGTGGAGGGAGGCTCCACCCTGTTCAAGCTGGATTACTTTGGTGAAGAGGCATACCTGACCCAGTCCTCGCAGCTCTACCTGGAGACCTGCCTGCCAGCTCTGGGAGATGTCTTCTGTATTGCGCAGTCCTACAGAGCTGAGCAGTCCCGGACCCGCAGGCACTTGGCAGAGTATGCACAGTTGTCCTTGTTTCTTAATAAAAGCTTGATTTCCTTTACAGTGTGGGAGTAAAAAGGAGTCAAAAAGTGTGTGGTTTTTTAATGAGTTTGTTTCATAGCTAAAGATGTGTTGCTTGTATGTGACTTTGCCATGGTGTGGCTCTGTTTCAGGTACACTCACATTGAAGCTGAATGTCCTTTTATAAGTTTTGAGGATTTGTTGGACCGTCTGGAGAACTTGGTGTGTGATGTTGTAGACAGAGTCTTGAAGTCACCTGCAGCGAACTTACTGTACGACCTCAACCCGGTATGCAGCAATGGGAACGGCCAAGAAAATAGCATCTTAAGCCTTTCCTACTCAGCACCTTCCTTTGGGAGATGCAGGGCATGGCAGTGAGCTTACTTACTATTTGTAATGATAAGAAGAATATTAAACATAAGAATGAGAAATCTGCAAGACTGGTAATGACCAAAGCAGGGAACTGTGGGGGAAGATGTTCATTGCTAGTGTGCTCCAGAAGCCAACAGCGTGCCAGGATTTATGGAAGTGGGTGTTGTGCCCGTGGAATAAAAACCTCCATCCCAGAAATGGGATATCAACCAGCTGGTGCTTGCTGATGGAGCATGAGGGAGCAATGAAACAAGTGGTGTTTCAGTTCCTCTCATGGCACATGGAGCCCTAAAGCTCTGGAAATGCTTCCTTATCTTTCCTCCAAAGTGATCTATGAGATTTACTGGGCTTCACATGGTTGTGTTTGGTTCTAGCTTTGTAGTGCTGAGTTTGATTTGTTCGTTTAAGTGATAATTTGATGATGTGTGAGCTGGAAAGGGTCGTGGATGTGCTGATCATCTGGAAAAGTATCTCTTTTAAAGTGGTGCTCCTCCACTTGTCTTTGCTCTTATCCACAGGGTTTCCAGCCCCCTAAACGTCCCTTCCGGCGCATGAACTATGCTGAAGCCATCGAGTGGCTGAAGGAACATGATGTGAAGAAGGAAGATGGCACTTACTATGAGTTTGGGGAGGTATGCCCTGCTGGCTGGTAGGGTAATGTATTCCATGTAATCCATGTAGAAATGCAGCTGTGGGTTGGGATTTGACCTGATGTCCTTCAGCATTGGGATAAAGACCTGTGTTGTCACCTGTCATCAGTTCCCTGGCCACACTTCTCCAGCTTCAGTTTGAAGGAGCTCAGGAGAACTTGACAGCATAGCCAGAATTTTTTTCCTCCTCGGCTTTCTGTCTCATATACTGCGGAGACTTAGATTTTAATTGAACAGATTTTTTTTTTCCGCCAGACATGTGGGTTTTTATATCTTCTAAAATAAGTTTGCTTTAAGAATTTAAGGTAACTCAGGATGAAAGCGTGGACATGTGCTCTCTTTGTTTTATGCCCACTTCATGTGGGCCTTGTTGTATAGAGTAGTTTTGGTGCTGAGTCTTACTAAAGCCTCCTCTAACCGTAGGATATTCCTGAAGCTCCCGAGAGGCTGATGACAGACACCATTAACGAGCCCATCCTGCTGTGCCGGTTCCCTGCAGAGATCAAGTCTTTCTACATGCAGCGCTGCAGCGACGACTCGCGCCTCACCGAGTCTGTGAGTTGTATTACCTGCTGGGGTAGCTTGGAGTATGGGGACCTTGGAAAGAACGAGTGCTGCAGGAAGCTCCTTGGAGAATCTTTGCCAGGTTTTGTCCTGGGTGCCTGAGCATGGCTGGCTGGCAGTCAGTGCTCCCCTGCTGCAGTGTTGCTCTGAGTGGGACGTGCTGTGGTGCATTGCAGGTGGATGTGCTGATGCCAAACGTGGGTGAGATCGTTGGCGGTTCCATGCGCATTTGGGACAGTGAGGAGCTGCTCGAGGGCTACAAGAGGGAGGGCATCGATCCCACGCCGTACTACTGGTACACGGATCAGGTCAGTACACGGGCTGCTGGGCTGACGCTAGAGCAGGGCCTTCTCCCCTCTTGGCCTTGGCTAGTTGGTTTGGTATTATTGCAGCTATAAATTAAAAGAAAATGTGTAATATCCCCTCCCTGAATTTCACAGAGGAAATATGGTACGTGCCCTCATGGAGGATACGGTTTGGGATTGGAGCGGTTCCTGACCTGGATTCTGAACAGACACCATATCCGAGATGTCTGTCTCTATCCACGCTTTGTGCAACGCTGCAAACCTTAGCCATCCTTGGGAAGAATTCCTGGAAAACTGAGCAGCTGATGCTTGGGAAAGAGTGATACTTGCTGCTACACTACAGCCTGTCTGACAACAAGACTTCCTGCAACCTGTTGCTAATTCAAATACCAATTTAGGATGTGAAAAATACCAAAACCTCTTTTTTAAAACAAAAGTGCTAGTCATTAACTGGAAAAAGCCTTAGAAAAATTGTTTAGGTGCATTTATGCTCTTGAGTCATCACAAAACAAAGATTCTGATAAGTTGTCATTTAAAAAACAAGATACAATTCTGCTTTTAATTTTTGTGACTTAAAATATGCTGGGCATTTGATCATTTTGTTTTAAATTTGCTCTAACTTTAATCTCTTTTCTCCTGGAGTTTCTTGTTGGGGAAGTCAGGAGTTCAAGCTCTTGAAATTCCCTAAGGGTGCCCTGTGAGAATGGTATGGAGAGACATGAGCAAAAGATAAAAATGAGCACTGCACGTTTTTAGTTCCTGCTGATTTTAAGGGGGGTTCTCTGGGTTGATTCAGTAGCAAGGTGTGTAGTGCAGCACACAGAATTCCGCTGTGAGAGAGGTGGGTAGGGTCTGGGGCTTTGGGGTTTTTTCAGATTATTTATTGCTCAGCAGTGCTGAGGCTGCTGGTGAGGCAGGCTTTGCTCCCTTTCCCAAGCGCTGCTGTGGGCCCGTGCACACCCAGCTGGACTTGTCTGATGGCTCCTAGCCATGGGGGGTTCTGGTGCTTTTTACTCCCTGCTTGCAGCCAGAAATGGCTGACTGGGACCCAGAGGAATGGTAACTGAAACACGTTGGATTTTCAGACTGTAGTCCCAGCAGTGCTTTCCCATGTCACACTGAGGTGTGTTCATGGAGCAGCTCCCTGTTTCCTTGTGCTACTGCAGCAGAGCAGCTTCCCTGGCTGTAATCAACTTATCAAATAGGGATAATGAAATACTTCATGTGTTGAGTCACCTGTATCATTTCTAGTCACAAAGCAATTCCTTTACCAGAGAGAGAAAAAAGGTAGGTGTATCGTTTGCCACCTGCACTGAGACTTGAGCTGGACTTGCCATTCACTCCTGGAATTGCTGAGCTGTGGATACCCGTATTTTTGTAATAAGTGATTGGTTTTCTTCATCTTGCATGTTATATAAACTGGTCTAAATCAGCAACCAATAAATTATGGCAACAGAAGCTGGTGTGCAAGACAGTACTTGACATTAACACCTGTTCCTATTACTGATACAGTGTAGACAAAAACCCAGGAAAAGGGAATTTTTCAAGTGCAGTAAACATATCCCAAGAACTGGCATGAGATTTCCCCCCCCCCTTTTAAACAACATCCCCATTAACTTTAAAGCATGATTTTTTCTGATTTGGAGGGACCACCTCAGCTGCCCAGTGAAACGTCCTGGAGAGAGTCAATGTGGTGCTAAGATAGCCGAGGTAGCAGTGCTGGGGGGAGCAGCTTGGAACTTCTGGCACCGGTAAAGACTTTATTGAATACTTTCCCTTTAGTGCCTGAAGTGATGGGAAGGGAGAAGAGTCGGGAAAATATACTTCTAGAAAAACATCCCTTGTTTGGGATGAGTTTTCAGTCCTTAAACCTGACAGGGCTGAGCTACTTTGTCAAAGTTAAAGGCTTCCTTATCAGGGGAGCTGCTAGAGGAAGGACTGAGGACTTAAGAAGTGCTCATAGAAGAGGCAGATCAGATAAGGAGCTTAAAAGGTGACCGGATGAAGGATGATGCTGTGGAACTTACCAGAGACTGCTGTGCAATTCCCTCGGCAGCTGGTGGAGAGAGGTGGGGCGGGATCCGGGAAAGATGCTCCAGCTGCTTGGAACACGAGAGAACCTGTATTTTTATTTTTATTAGAAAGGGAAAACAAGCCTGCAGAAGAGAAGAAAATGTGCAATCAGAACTTGGATCTCTCCTTATCCTCACTTTCACTTAGGGGACCACCCGCCTCGGGACCACCGCCTGCTATCCTCGGACCGCCCCGCTTACTGTGCCGGGGCGGTGCCGGAGCCATGCCGGGGCGGTGCCGGGGGCGGTGTAACGTGAGGGGCGGTAGCGGGGCTGTCTGAGGGAATGCGGGCGGCCAAGATGGCTGCTGCCGCCTCCGCTGCCGGGCGTCACTGTGAGTGTGGGGATGCCGCCGCGATGGCGGGAACGGGGGACCGGGGGCGACGGGCGGCCTGAGGGCTGCCCGGACACCGCGGGCGCTGCGCGCGCGGGAGCGCGCCGACACCGCCGGCACCGCGTTACACAATGACCGACAGGCGCCTTTCGTAACGCTGACCCGTGCCGGGGCCGGCGGGGCTGCTGCGGCTGCCGCCGCGGGGCCGTGCGGCCGGCCGGCTTACCGGGGTGTGCGGGAGGGTCTGCGCGGGATAATGGCGGCTTCCCGCCAGTGCGCTGAGGGGGCTTCGGGAGCCTCGCGGTCGGGGGTCTCCGCGCCCACGCCGCAGGGGCCCCTCAGCTGCTCGGGGGTCTCCGCGCCCACGCCGCAGGGGCCCCTCAGCTGCTCGGGGGTCTC